CCTCGCTAACATAGTGGATGATCATTACATGAGGATCAGCCATGTGCTGCGGGGGTCCGAGTGGCTCATCTCCACCTCCAAACATCTCCTCATGTACCGCGCTCTTGGATGGCAGCCGCCCACCTTCGGACATCTGCCGCTCCTGATGAACAAAGACGGCGGCAAACTGTCCAAAAGGCAGGGGGACATATTCATTGAACGCTTCCAGAGAGACGGCGTCCTGCCGGAGGCTCTGCTGGATATCACAACCAACTGTGGATCTGGATTCAGCAGTAAGTGATGGAGTAAACCAAGTGATGTAAAGAAACTGTATTTAAATGCACACCTATATCACATAGCTTATTTAATATATATATATATGATATGAGAACAATTACATGCTTCTAAATGATTTATGTTGTTTGGCAGGCAATCGAATTGGGCGGAGGCTAGATGAACTGATCTCTGAGTTTAATCCTTCAAAGATTACAACACATTCTGCTCTGTTAGACCTGGAAAAACTACCAGAGTTCAACAGGTAATTGGGACTCTCTGTGCTTTTGTCTCTTTTGTGCTGTATTTTCATGTTTCTCATGTTACCAACAGGATATAAAAGATTCTTACTGCTTCCCATTGTTACAGACATTTACTGAACTTATGAACTGTTAATGTTTAGCACAAAGGATGGAAACAAGGGGAAACAGACTTCAGGAAGTCACTGTACCAGCTAGGAAATACCCCAGTACACAACAACCCAAAACCACAATAATAACACCCAGGCTAGCAGTTTCCTCCTGTTTTCCGGCTTTATGCTAAGATAAACTAATTGGCTGCCGGCTGTAGCTTTGTGTTTACCAGATCAAAATAAGAGTGGTACCAATTTTCTCATCTACCTCTTAAGTCCCAAAATTCTTTCCATGTCCACTGCACAGAATATAAACCCTTTGGTTTCATCGTGACCTTCTTCTGCTGCCACCTTATGGTCAAACCTTTTCACCTCATACTAATGCTAGCATGGTTGTAAAGGTCAGAGTTCATATATCAACAATCTTTCTCTCTGTGGCAGAATTCACCTGCAACACCGTATTAAAGATGAGGAGCAGTGCCAGATGCTGATAAAAGATCTGCAGGGACAGATCCAGCAGGCCTATACAGCAGAGATCCAGGATGAGGAAGTACTACACAAGGATTATATCAGGCGGGTGCTACATCTTCGTAAGGTAAACATACAGCATATTTATGAATACGTATTCATACCATGTTACGGTGCCCTTGCAATTTCACTGCAGTAGGGCACCAGGGGCAGAATTATTCTCCAAAGGGAAACTTATTGGACAAACTTCCTTGATACCCTCATTCCCAATGGTATGAATTAAGGGGGTTACATTTGCTTATTTACATGAAGTCTTTCTTATGTAGTGCATTTAACTTGTATGGTATGTTGTGCCTTATTTCATATCATGTTACCATGTGTTCTTGTTTTCACCGTGCTTAAATGTCATTGTTTCACCATGCTTATACAGGCTTAATGCCTGAGTATAGCTGAGGCTAACAAAACAGTCTGTTGCACAGCCTTCAGTTTCATGTTATCATCTCAAACTGGTAGATTTTGTGTTTGTCCTGTTGATGGTGCTGTGTGTTTATTTTCAGTTCAGAACAAAATGGAAACATGGGAGGATTTTCATGTCAGGCTGATGAATTCATTTGAATGTTCTGGTATGTGGAAGCCATAAAACTGAATACCAGTGGGTAACTGAATTCTCAGCTTGGACATTTACATGGTCTTGACAAAATGCAAATGGTCTTAGTCATCTGGGTTTTTCCTTCAAAGACTTGATGGGATTTAGATACATACATACTTAATTCATAGCCCAACAACTCTCTATTTAGACGTTTACCACTTGTCTTTTCTTCAGACGTGGCTTCTACTCTTATTTCTCAATACTGCTCCTGTGCCTGTACAGTAATATTGAAACGATTCTCTTCCCCTTCTCTCTACAGGGTCACATATGCTCCCTTAAAGAGCTTGTGAGTCCTACTTTCTCTTACCTGTGGGTGCGTCCTTCCATCTCCAGCCAGCAGGTGGCAGCGATCACTGCAGATGCCGAGCACATTGCTTCATTAGTGCTGAAGTATGTAGTGTTAACAAGTGCACGTTTCACTGTACCTTTCAACTACACTGTTTTAGCAGGATTATGAACAATTCTGTGTCTCTGCGTTGTAGATTGGTGGCTGAGCGAGGTGAGGACCTGGCAGTGGATCGACTCAGTGAAGATCTGAAGGCTCTGGCTAAGCAGACTAAAGCCACTAAATACAGAGAAGTGATGAAGCTGTTACGTCTGGCTCTCAGCGGTCTGCAGGTACCTCAAGACATCATGTTCATTTTTTATGTTAGACAGTAATATAAACAGGAAATTGGTTTGGGAGAGGTGGTAACTTCAAACTAACTTTAACCCAGAGCTTCACCAGCAGCTGTTTGTGTGCTGAGTCATCCCTCACATCCTCTGCTGCTTGTGACTGACTGAACCGTTTACCTTCAACACTTCATGATCACAAAAAAAAAAAAAAAAAACCGCTTTTCTACAGCCTGTTGCTTTTAATTACAGATTAAGTGAAGGTTAATTTGCAGCCCGGTCAAGCCTGTAACATGGGTTCCTTGCTGAGCTCGAATTCTTTTCTGCATCTGCCTTTTTGTTAAATAATTTTAGCTGTAGGTAAAGATCCAAACCCAAAATGGGGCTCACTCAAAACATGAAAATAAGGGGGTTTTTTATTTAGAGGGGAACTCCACTTATTTTACACATCAAAGTCTGTATAAAGATCTTGCGGAGTACTGCTGCATATGTGGAAAAAAACATTATATAAAGTCTTTTGTGGCTCCAGAGGGAGAAATACTGCAAGTTTGAAAATCACGTGAGCTCAACAGACCTCTGCAGCCCGCACCTCAACTCTGCTTGAGGTTAGTGACTCGAGGCTACATCGGCTGCTACTAGCATAACACATCCGAATCCAAACTGTCGGTGGTTGAGTTGCATTGTGGGTACTGTAGTCATCAAGTTATGACAAGGAAGAAGAATGTGTCTTTTTTATTCTTTCAATAAAATATTATTTTGACCTTGCAAGTAGCTTGTTATAGAATCTAACATGTTTGAGAAAAGTTGTGATGTTTGTGACAGCTCACGACAAGACTCGTCTCAGACCTGTCCATTCTGTGTTGCACAGGGGGTTTTGCCTTAAAGAATGGTTTGGTACAGGCCAGTCGTGGCAAAATTCATAGTAGTCTGCACTGAGCTTTAGCAGAGGTGGTGATGCTTCTACCGTAAACAGCTGCAGGAAATCTTCTAACTGCATTTCAATCATTTTTAGGACATATTCTTTAAAGTTCAGACAGTCCCAATATCAGTCCAAGGTTTACAGTTACCTTCAGTCCTAACAATGTCGAAATAAAATGATCTAAATGAAGGAATGCTTGTGAATTTAGTCTCCTGTCATCATACTTTCCAGCATTAGATGGACACTCGAATCCAGAATCACTGTTTTGAAATCACACTACCAATAAAATACAGCCTTTCGGTCTGCGTCTCTCACCGAGACCGAAAGGACGTGTGAGTTAACAAATCAAACAAAGATTAAAATGTTTTTCTGAGCCTTATGCGTATGTGTGTCTGCACTATGATGTTTTAAGGTCATTTATTTTAAGATCATTTATTTTAAGATCATTTTGACTCTAAGAGGAACTAATAACATTCCTTCTGTACCCTTTTTTTTTTTACAGCTCACTTGTAATTTTCATTTCTGCAATTTGTATTTTTTTCCACCCCAGCAAATTCAATCATTTTTTTTGCTGTAATCATAAAAAAGGAGAGTCTAAGATCCTTGTTGGACTATTGTATGTGTCCCTTTTTTATTATTTTTTTTTATTTCTCTCCATGGCATGACTAAGCTAAACTCTAAAATAGCACGTTTGAAATGATAGTAATGACTAAAACCTCAGAAAGCCTACGGTGACTCATTCACCACAGTAACCCTGGAGATATTCAGAGAGGGAATATGGAAAGAGGAAATAAATTCTGATTACTTCTCAGAGAGGTTTACTCAGTTTTCTTGCTGTCTGGTTTTGATTGCATTACTTCACTGACCCCTGATCCTCTGTTCTCTTCTGCCCTGCAGCAAGGTCCCAGTGTAGCTGAGCTGATGGTGTGTTTGGGGCCAGTGGAGATCAGGCATCGATTGCAGAAACTTGTGCTGCTTTCAGAGACCAGTTAAAGACTGCACTGTCACCGCACAGGCTGCTGGGAACCCGATGCAGACAAGAGCTGCTACATGGGACACATTTTGAAATGAACTGCACGGCGCTCACATAACTTAAACAATACTTGAATTACTACAAATATTTTATAAAAAAGAGAGATTTTACTCATATGGTCCGTTTGTTTTATTCAGTGATGTGAGACGTTACAGGAGCAGGTGACATAAGGAGGCCAAGGATGGGAAGTACCTGGGTATTTTTATGCAAACGCTCCTGTGCTTTCTCAGGAAAATCGTTTGTTTTTTTTTAACGAACTACAGCAGACAGATGTTTGTTGTACATCCATAAGAAAAACTTACAAACACACAATACACAATACAATAAATAACAAGCATTTTTGCTTTTGAAAAAACTTACATAATCATTATCAGCTAATTAAAATAATAAAATAAAATAATAGATAAAAGTAGCCATTAAACAGCATCAGTGAGTTTTACTGTCACATAACATTTAGGAATTTGTACAAGTTCATTAACATGTAAGCAGCGGTAGAAAGTAACTACCTACATTTACTCGAGTACTGTACTGAAGTATAGTATGTTTTTTATATATGAGTAATTCCATTTTCTGCAACTATATTTCTACTTTACTACAGTTCAAAGTACATTGTGATGGTAATACTTGTGTACTTTTATTTAAAGTAACATTTAAAATGCAGGACTTGTAACAGTATTTCTAAGCTGTGGTATTGCTACTTTTAGGTAAGTAAAATATCTGTGCACCTCTTCTACAGTTGCACAAGTATTTTATGTTGTGCCTGTAAGCTACTTGTTATTTTTGGGGTTTAATCTAAAACAACAAATTATATTTTATAAACTAAAATCATAACCTAGAGTAAAGAAAGTACAGTAATGTAAATGTAGTATGTGTAAATGTAACTTAAAGCTTCAAATGCAGCCTAGTTGCTTCCCACATCTTATACAAGTTGTTTACATTTGTTTATTTGTTTATGAGGACTTTAATTCATATCCTGTATTTGACATGTATATAAGTTATACATTGAGTGGAAGGGAGGGGGTGTGTGACATAAATTGGCTGGTGTGTGAGGAGTGTGACTGGGCGTGAGTGTCACATGTCGTTTGACACCTCCGCTTCCCTCAGAGAGACTGACTCTCACTCAGATCAGCAACTCAACATCTCTGGAGGACGACAATGGCGACCGGTGACAGCCAGGCAACCTTAGAGTCCTTGTTCAGTAAGTTTAACAGCGGGGAGAGGATCTGGCCGGTAAAGTTTGTTTTGTTTTCGCTGTTTGTTGCTGACATCCGACATCTCGTCATCCCCTCAACTGCACAAACTAACTCGGCTCGTGGCAGTCGGCTCAAGGGTTAATTACTTCGCTGACGCTTTTTATTTCGCGAGTTAATGTTTTATTTTGTCGATTCATTTTTCAGAAGTTATTTTGAAGAAAATAATAAGTTTGACATTTTGCAGGAAAGTATCAGTTGGTACAGGAAGTTGGTCACACCGTGCGCGCGCACGAGACGAGCGGGTGTGTGTGTTGTGTCTGCTGCTGTGCGCGCGCACTCTGGCAAAGAAAAAGTGTTCATTTCTTGATGTTTGTTGTAATTTATTTATATTAATTTGAGGTAAAAGTAGCAATGAAATGATGGAGAAATGCACAAACCTGCATTTAAAAAATATACGAGTAAAGTGTAAGTGGTAAAATGTACTTAAATATTAACACTAGTATTGTGAATACTTGTACAGTTGAGGGGTTTAAACTATCAGTGCTACAGTTGCATATTAAAGCCTCAAATGCAAAGTTTTGGCTAGTTTTCTTTAAATTAGTTCAGGTTTCATAAACTCGTCATCATCCTCTCTTTGCATTTTATTAAATTCTTGTTTTTAAGGTGGCTCACTGTTGGAGACACACACTTTCTAACCCCCAAATCAGCAATATTTAATGAGAATGAGAATCATGTTCAATGCAACATCTGAATCTTTAAAGTAAAATAGTAACACCATCCAACAGATAAATGTAGTGGGGGAAACTCCAAAGCCAGACAAAATATGAATACTTAAGTACCATTATCTTAAAATAGCAGTTAAATTATGGTATCAGTTAGTAGAGTGGCTGACAATTAATCAATTGTTTTTATACTTGATTATCATTTAAGTAATTAATTAAGCAAAACCACAACAATGTGTGGGCTTTGGACCATTGTTTGAACAAAACTTAACTAATAATCCTCGAGTTTATTATGCATTTTTAACTTTATATAGACTTAACAATCACTTAGTGCCGTACCATGCATAAGAAGTGTAATCCTGGTAGGTCTGTCTTTTTAACTTTCACTTCTTCTTTACATTATATTATTATTTGCATATATTTGCATGCGTTTGATCTAATTGTGGCACATTATAAAACATATTTTCCTCTGGTGTCTCTGTTGCAGGCCAGGCCACAGACCCAAACAATCAGGAGGACAGATGGGACTGCATCCAGGGCTTCTACCAGCTCGTCAACCAAGAGACTGATGGGTAAGCTGAACACAGTCTTTTGGCAGTTTTTTCTGAATTATACCGACATTATGTGCTCGCACACAAACCTGCGTGGCTTTTCAGACCGCCTTCAGGTTTTTGAAACGGAGCTGAAGTTTTCAGGGTTGCTTCAACGCAACTGTGGCGTTTGAGAAAGAGTTGCTTCACATCCATGTTGCGATCACAGCTTCTCACTTACACCATCGTGCTAGGGAGAGGAAGAACTCAGCAGCACCTTTTCCCCTTTTGACCCTTTTCCTTATTAACGTATTATAATGTCTAAATATAGTGCAATGTAAGTTAATGTTCTCATCCATTTCTCTTAGATTTACTCAAACATGGCAATGTGTGGAAGTTATACGAATAGTACTCCTTTTTTATGGTGGCACAACATGTTCTTTGCTCACGATCTATATCGGGCATTTTAATGTGACTTAAATCTTAATTTTCTGCTTCCAGTCCGCAGGTAGCCATTCGTCTTCTTTCCCATAAAATCCAGTCGCCACAGGAGAGAGAGGCTCTGCAGGCTCTCACTGTACGTAATCAGCTTCTTCATCTCTACATGTAATACAAATATTCTGTATATTTATCTGTTCCCAGAAGCAACAAGTAACTAATCCTTCCTTCCTTTTTAAATTTAAAATGTTATGTCTTCATTTTAACAAGTCAGTCATGAAAAGAAGCAATACCTCCCCCGGTTGGTGTCTGTATCGACACGCAGTCATTTGTTTTAATTGTATGCTGTTTCTCATGGGTTATACTCAGCATTTATCAGAACGTCTTTAACGCTACGGACCATTCGGTGAAAAACAAAAGTCTTTGTTTTAACCCTGGGGAGGGCGGTCCTGTGAAGAATATCTGTGACTAACTTTTATCACATGGGCCTCAAGTGACATGAGGGACTTTATCAGCATTTTAATCTTCTGTGACTCCACGCAGTTTGCATCCATTCATTAAAGAGAGCTGCAGTGTTTCTCTAGAAAATGTAACTTAGAGAAGCTTCTGGAGGTTCATGTGCCTCATGTCATATGACATTTAAAGGTGGTTAACCGCGAACGTGCAGTCACAAATCTGTTTGCTCTTGTGTTGGGTAAGAACAAAAGACTTCTTTTTCTTTCGTTTTCACTTGATGAAAAAGATTCTGTTAGTAATGATTTATTATGATTTGGTGCTTTCCAGGTTCTTGAGGCGTGTATGAACAACTGTGGCAAAAGGTTCCACAGAGAGGCCGCCAAGTTTCGCTTTCTCAATGAGCTAATCAAAGTTTTAACACCAAAGGTACGGCCGATCATTGAGACTGTGTGTGTGTGTGTGTGTGTATGTGTCTGTCTGTCTGTGTGTGTTGTGAGAGAGAGAGAGAGAGAGAGAGAGAGAGAGTTATAATAGGTGTATGTAGAAAGGAAGGATAGAAGTTAGGAAGCTAGCAAAGAATGAAAGGAAAAGGAAATAAGAATGTAATGAAAGGACTTAGAAGTGTTTTTGTATTTTTGAGCACTTAAAATCAAACTCAAAATCACAAGTAAAATTAAAAGTCAAATTAGCTATTTAAAAAAAGCCAAGCAGCTCACACTGGCTGTGGCTGAGCAGATGAGATCGCTGCCTATTGGCAACGCACTGTTCAATCAAATGTCAAACTTGTTTTCTGAGGAATGACTCTGATGTTGATCTTTCCTGAGCAGTACTTTGGCGCGTGGACTCCACAGAAAGTTAAAGACAGAGTGACGGAGGTCCTGTACGGCTGGACTCTTTGGCTTAAAGAAGAACCCAAGATTCAGGAAGCCTACTGCATGCTCAAGAAACAGGGTCTGAATGCAACATGCACACAACACACAGTCTGTGCTCAGAAGACATTTTATACACGTAATTTAAAATGTGCCCTTTTAAACTCTAAATAGCCTGAGCAACACTTTAATTAAAGCTGGGTTTGTGCATCATATATTAGCATTTTACAGATACACAAGATAATATAAGCCCTTATTCATCCCCAGAAGGGAGATGGTAAAAGAAAGTAGTGAAAAAGTAAAAGAAATCATTAGAAGTATATACAAATAAGAAATAATTGCTGTTTCAAGTGAAGAGACAGTCGTGTGACTTTTAGCAGCAAAATACATGTAAGAGTAATATGACACCATCTACTATAACAGCATACGCCAGATTAATATATAGTAGGATTAAATAATGATAGCTAGTGTTTGTGGGTAATATATCAAATATTACATGTTAATATAGTAAATAATGCAATAAAAATATTATTTATTAAATATAAATACCATAATATAATAAGCATGAGGCAGAGTTCCCACGTGCCTTGGAAAACCTGAAAATTAGACTAGTTTGTTAAAGTTGCTCATGGTGCTCACACAAGGTTAAAGAATAGAAATAATAATTATATTACAATATCTAACACAATATATATAGAATAGAAAATGTGTATATAGCTATAGACATATAAGTAAAAAAAAGCCTAAGTATGTACCCTATAATAATATATGACAATATATAGACAGTATAGACAATATATGTCCGTCTCTCAAGACTAAAACCATCATGCTCTTCTCTTTGTTATTTTAGGTATTGTAAAGAAAGATCCTAAACTTCCAGACACATTAATAATGGCGCCGCCACCACAAAGAACCACAGAATCTGTTTTTGACCAAGAGGACAAGGCCCAGGTAAGTGTGTGTGTGTGTGTGTGTGTGTGTTTTATAAGTTTCATCCTAAAATGTGTTTCTTTATCATCAGCTATTAGCCAGATTATTGAAAAGTGCCCGTCCTGAAGACCTGGAAACTGCCAACAGACTCATTAAAAGCACCATGAAAGAGGTGAGGAGTGCCGTGATGGTCGTCTCTGCGATGCGTGCATTTGTAATTGTGTGAATTTGGTATTCATGTGTTTATGTTGTGTGTGTTTTTAGGAGCAGGAGAAGGCAGAGAAAGCATCAAAGCGGGAATCTACTCTGAAGGAGGTGGAGAGCTGCACCAAACAGCTCAGAGAGCTACTGGACCAGCACACGATCACCAGAACCTCGTTACAGCCGAGTGATGACGTGAAGGTACGTTGGACATTACGCTGACATTCACCCAGCTGTCCAGGGCTGACCACAAAGGTAGAGGCTTGTGTGGAAGTCCTCAGATTGTTTTCCTTCTATCTCCCTCTCCTGGCTAACTGCGAAAATGTTACCGTGTCAAATGTGTCCAACCTGTCTGTGAACATATAAAATTATGTTAATTTTCAGGTCAGAAGGTGAAGTTAGGGCCTGCTTTAGAGTGAATCATAGTAAATGCTGTTGAAGCAATAGTGAAACATAGTAATGTCTGAAGAAACTTCCACTTTTAAACACAATTTAGATCAGATTTCACCTCTGTATGTTTTCATCTGAAGGTCATCATATTGAGGCTTACAGTTGACGTTACCAATTTATTTCCTCTAATCTTTCACCTTTTATAGTGATATTATTGTGATCTTTTGTTCTAAGCACTTAACACATTGAGCCTGTTGCTGTTCATTATTATTCCTGTTAACAATAATACCAGTGGTGGAAAGTACATTTACGTACCGTGCTTGAGTATAATTTGGAGGTTCTTGTACTTAACCTGAGTATTTAAATTTTTCTGCCATTTTCTACTTCACTACAGTACATTTCAATGGGAAATAGCAAAGGACTTTAATGTTACTGCCCTTCAGTTATCTGACAGCTGTACTTTACAAATAAAGGTTTTACATACAAAAAAGAGTCCTAACCCTAAATATTTTCTCAAACCACGTGCAAAGACTTGTCAGTGCAGTAAGAATATTGCTGCCTGTTTTCCTATTCAAATATATTTGTTTCCAGTATTTTCTGGAATCAGGTTTCTTTTTGTTAAAGTCTAGAGCCACAACACACATCATACCGCTCGTTTCATGATTTGAAACAAAAATGGGTTGAAATTCTCCTACTGCTGCACTTTGTCAACTGTTTTAGGTCCAGATTTTAGACAGAATTGTCTTCATGTCTTCAAGATCTAATGATATCTATAATAATGTACTACTATATGAAATTCTACTTCACTTTTACTCCAGCCATTATATGAAATGATGCTTTTATTTGAGAAAACATGGTACATTCTTCAAACCTGAGCTCAAAGTGAAGTCTAGAAAGTGATATTTGGGCCGAGCAGAGCTGCCCATGTTGCCCATCAGTATCATCTGCAGAGGAGAATGTGTTTGTGTGGAAGTGTAACTTAACATTTGAACCTTCTCTCTCTCTCACTGCAGACCCTGTATGAGCGCTGTGATCGGTTGAGGCCCAGCCTGTTTCGCCTGGCCAGCGACACGATGGACGACGACGCAGCTCTGGCTCAGGTCCTGGCGGCTAACGACGAGCTAACGCTTGTAGTTAGTGCCTACAAAAACCGAGTGGGGAAGAGGGAGTGTAACGGTGGAAGAGAGAGAAGTAAAAGTGAAGAAGAAATGGAGTGTAAAAATAATGGTAGGCCTGGTTTTTTTTTTTTTTTACTCCCCGTGGAGAACACCTTGACCTCGTGTTTGGCTCTTCTCTGTTCTGCTTGTATTTGATCCTGTTTCTTCTTGTTCCTTCAGCTCCAACGAGTCCCAGAGAGATTAAAAGCTACCACCTAATCGACCTGTCAGCACTGGACTCTCCACCGACACACAGAAAGGCTGATTCACCACCATCATTCGAATCCTCTTCGCCCATGTTTTCCTCTCTTCTGGAGAGTAGCTTCCACTCAGTGGCTGACCAGGACCTGAATGAATTAGGTAGACCTGGATTTGTACCTATTTCCAGCTCTCTGATGGTCATCAATACGTTTCATTATTTAATGATGTGGTGTCCTGTACTTACAGACTTCGATAATCTGTTCTCAAAGAAGACTCAAGAGACTTCAAGGTCGTATTATGAAGATCTACTAGAGGTAAGGCTTGGATGTGAAAATAAAGGTTTAATGCTTGATATTAAGGTTCACATATTGGCCATTAACTAGCTAGCACTTTGACTCTTAATTAGTCATTATAAAGCACATATTAATGCCTTATTCTGCATTACTGTATTCTACAACTACTAGGCCATTATCTAAGAGTTTTCCATCAATAACCTCCTAATTACTGCGTATTGATTGTAAGTAAGGAAGTTGTACGTGAATTTTGATATATTGCTCAGTAGACTTTGAACTCTTCAACTTTCTTTTTAATTATCACAATTTAAGTTGCTCATAACTAAGAAAACCTCACTTTAGAATGGGGAACATTTTCTGAGTTAGAAAGACTTAATTTTAAATTATTTGGACACTATTAACACTTAGTTCTTTGTTTTGTTGCATAGGATAGACCACATTTATAAAGTGTTATTAAGAGAGAATGAGTATTCTTATAAGACCCACACTGAGCAAAGCATATCAAGATTGTAATTACTTAACTTCCTTCCTTACTATCAATAAGCAGTAATCAGGAGGTTATTGAAGAAAATGGCCTAGTAGTTGTAGAATATGGTCATGCAGAATAAGGCATTAATAAGTGCATTATAATGACTAATAGAGACTGAATATGCTGCTAATATACATGCTAATAAGCATCTACTTAATGGGGAATATGTGTACCTTAATATAAAGTGTTCCTGTGATTTTTATTTGGAAGAGTATTAACACGGTTTATCTTTTTCTGTCAGCTTAATGGAGAGGTTCAGATGAAAAATGCTGAGCAGAATGGAGGCAGGGGGCTTCTGTTGAGAGCCCGTGGATGTGGAGGGAACAGTACGACACCGAATGGGACTAACATTTGGTAAGGACGAAGAAAAGGAAGGAGACTCTTAAAATCCTAAATCCAGAAACCATTGGAGAAAATACTATAAATGTGGCATATATATTTATAGATAACATTAAAAAAGTGTTTCCTATACCAGTTATTGACTGTGCTCTGAATAAAAGCCACGATGGGAAGATGTGATGTAAAACTCCACAGGTAATGATTTTGTAAGGAGGTTAATAGATAATGATTATACCCTGGGTGTAAATTCTTATACATTATTTAGTTCAGAGCTAAAAATTCTACTTAACATAAGTACATTTAAAACTTGCATAATAATAACATCTGCCTGCTGATCTCATATAGTTTTGTTTTTGTTTAAACTAATACAATTTCAAATGATGTTAACTGTAACTAAAATGTACTCTTATCATATATTTACACCGACTGTCATCTCAGATAATAAAGTTTATTGTTCAACTGTACTTTATGTAAAATAAAAAGATAAATAAATATTTGTTATTCTCAAGTTATTGTCTGTAAGTAACAAAGTTTCTGCCTCATAAATTCTTTATCAGTCAGGAGTTGAGTCCAGGATGTGTTATTGCATTCTGGGAACATGGAAGTAATTTACCATACTTATTACTATAATGACTAAAATGCCTTTCTTTCTCTCAGGTCACTCCCATTTACAGAATTACCATCCAAGGGACCGAAACAACTCAACAAAGTGTCGGGATCTCCGGTGAAATTGGAGGAGAGCTCGTGTCCCTCAACCGCCCTGAAAAACGTCTTTGTTCCAATGGAGACCATCAAGCCCAGTATGTTCCCAAAAGGCTGAAACAGCTGGGTTAACTTTGTGTTTCATAGTACAGTACAGTACAACCATTCCTCATTTATGTGTATACAACCTTCTGGATATCCTGTTTTAAATATATCTGTTGTTTTCTTGGTTGTTTGTAGGTCATTTTGAGCCGATCACTCTGTATGATAAAGGAGGGATCCATGTCTCTCTACATTTTGCCAAAGACTCTCCGCCGGGTCATCCAGATGTTGCTGTGGTCGTCATCTCCACAGTGAACACATCTGCCTTCGAAGTGAAAGACTTTGTGTTTCAAGCTGCTGTTCCAAAGGTAATAAACTCCAAACTCATATTCAGACTCAGACTTTTTTTAAATAAAGTCTGAGTGAGTGACATCTATACCAGACAGTGGTGGAGATTTTGAATTTTAAGCAGGTATAACACCATGATTTAAATTTTGGATGAGCCAAAGTAATTTTGGCACATGATAGTAGCCTAATACATAGTAATTTGCAACTACACCACTAGATGTCACTAAATCCTACACATTGGTCCCTAAAGTCATTGAACAACCAAAAAAGTCAAACATTTTCTGGCTCCTGCTTCTAAAATGTGAGAATGGGCTGTTTTTCTACATTTTATATCACTGTAAATGTAATTGTTTGGGATTTTTCCCTGTTTTCCGGGTCAAAATGGAAGAAACCTCAGGAAGAGCGACAGAGGATGTGCAATAGATGTGTGTACAGAACAGACCGATGTAGTAAAGTGAGTGTGGTGGAGACAGTCAGGATGATTGTAAACAAATATAAGGTATTTTTGTAGTTTTGACATCCTCTAGATGGAGAAATTAACAGATAAATTGCAAAAAAAATAATCAAACATGCAAATAATTTAGTCTGTTGTGATCTTTCATGTTCTTCCAATTGGAAAAATAATCCAAGACACGATCAGTTTTCACATATAAGTACCATGTTTGACCACCTTTGGCCTGCTGGTAGGGTCTCAGTGTTAAAGCAGCAGCGTCAGTGTTTCAAGCAGATAATGGGTCGACGCTCTTTTATAAAATTATGTGTTTAAGTTATCAATGTTTGTCAGCTCACTATGCTTTACTTA